CCAGAGCACACAGTGCTGTTTTTAGGCTTTGTTTCAATCACTATTATAATTTAAAAGAATTTGGTATTTTGTTGGTATCTGATCTAAATTTCTGTATAGTTAGACCAGATTTTCACCGTGACATTATTTTCCATATATATTTTTCCTTTTGTCTCTTTTTTCTTTTTTTATTAGTATATCTTTGTGATACATATAATAATTACATTTGTTTTGGGAATTAGTACATATATCATCTTTGTAATTTTTATTCCCCTTCCCTCATTTCATCTAAATTTTTGGGTAGACTTTTTCTTTTCTTTTGCTTCCTGGTTAAGAGTTTACTCTTACTTTTGTTATTGTTTTAAAACTTTCTTTAGAATAATTTAACTGTATTTTAGAGTCACATTTTATAAAGATTTTTATTTGAAAATACGGTTTGGGTTAGTTGGAGGAGGTGGGAGACAGAAAAGCTAACTTGGAGAACTTAAGATAGTGTTTCTCATAAGAGACCGGCATAAAGTTAATTATCAGTACTTCTGTATTTCTTTTCTTCATCTTTTTGCATAAAGAAAATGATCAGTTTTATTATCTTTTAACCCACGGTCATAGAGTGGCTTTTCATGTAACATGCTCCCCCATGAACATAGGCTGGGACATCCCTCTAGTGCTAGTATTTGAGCTGCTAATGCCACTTGATTTCTTGATGCCATGACAGCTATTAAATAAGTAATTTGTTGTTGCTTTAAATGTTTTAGAAGCCTTGACAAATTTTTTGAATTATCTTATTAAACTAGGATTAAAATGATGAGAAGGACATGGTCCTTTCTCCAGAAGCTGAGACTGGTAGAACAGAGGCATGTTCTCAGGAAGAGTGGTAGTGACCAGAGACAGGGCTGGAGAGTTGGTGGCAGTCACACCCTGGGCCTGGATCCTCACTGCACAGGAGACAGGGAGGGAGGAGTAGCTTATATCATGCATTTAGGACCACAAAAGGAACCAGGGGTGGGGGGCAGGGGCGTCAGCATTTGTCATGTATTTGCCAGGCCCAGCGTTGTCCAGGTGAAGATGTCCAGGAAGGTACTGGATCTGTGGCCCAAAGTCAGAGACAGACTAAAGGAGAGACACAGGCTAAGTAGATCAGCAGAGACAAGAGAACGAATGCAGGGGAGGGGGAGCAAGAAGGCCAGCACAGGTAAGGACCAAAGAGAATCTGAAAAGCTCTGTAGAGTGCTGGATCTGGTTCCATGCAGGAGGCAAGGGTACACCCCCTCCCTGCATGTGAATTTGGAGGTTGTTTTCTTTTTTCTTTCTTTCTTTCTTTTTTTCTTTTTTTTTTGCAGTACCAGGGCTCAAACTCAGGACCTTGTGCTTACAAGGCAGGCACACTGCCACTGAGCTAAATCCCCAGCACTTCCTGCATGTGAATTTGGAAGTGGCCGCCTCTGCGAAGTGGGGTTGGGAGATCAAGAAACACTGTATCTTGTACCATGTTTGAGTATTACCTATTGTAAAAAGTAATTTTTAAGGACCAATAGGGAAAAAGTCCCAAAAGGTCAGAGGAAAATTAGTGGTTAGCAGTATTAAATGTTGTGGAGAGGTCAGGCACCTGAAAAACAAAAGTTGCTGTCAGTGTTGGCAGAGGCCTTCATTGCCCTTGAAGTTTGGGGAGTCCTGAGGTGGAAGTCAGGTTGCAGCACAATTAATTCTTTCAGTCCCAAAGGTCACCAACTGGTTGTGTGTTTGGGAAAGAAAGATTTGGGAGGGGTTATAGTTTGAAGTTTAACATTTTTCGTAATGTACGAAACATCCCAAATTAAAGATTTAGTTTTAGGATAGGATTGAACCTTATGTATAGTGTCTTTGGTTAACGTCTACACTTTATAAGTGGGAAACCAAATCTGCTCAGGTCAGTACAAGTCCTGTCTAACACCTAAGCTCTTTCCCCTGCTTAGTAACTATGTGACCTTGGGCAAGTCACCTACTGACTCTGCTTTAGTTTATTGATTGTTCGAGCCACTATTTTTTCCAGTATACTAAAGCTATAGTTATTATGTTCTTCTAGACTTTTTTTCCTCAAAAAGCCTTTGGACCTTTAATCCAGCTCAGCACTTTTCATTATACCCCTCTCTTCCTAGACTAATTGACAAATTTGATCGAGACCGAGCACCAAGAGGCCGTGGAGGCCCAAGAGGGGCACTTCGAGGCCGAAGCCGAGGCCGAGGCGGAGGTGGGATCAGAGCTTTCGACACTTTTGACCCAAGAGGGAAGCGAGATTTTGAAAGATACAGTGGGAATGATAAAATGTAAGTTTCTTTGTAGATGCTGTTTTTACTTTAAGATTTTATTAATACATGATCTAAATCTGCTATTCTATGTAAATATTTATTTAACTTGTGGTAGTATGCTGTTTTTCTCATGGGATGCCGATCTTGGGGTAGGTTTTATGATCTTTTTCTGATTTGGAGTTAGGAGAGCAGCTTCCACTTTAAGGGATTCTTCTTTCTTCCTCCAGAGCATTCAGACCTGAAGACAACACAGGTGGGTGTGGAATTCGCACCTGGGGGTCAGGAAAAGACACCAGGTAAGTACACATGTGCCCACTGAGAACCTGTGATTAAGTGGAAATATCTGGATTTTAAGTTTTTGAAAATGATGTCTCTGTATTGTACTTTATACTTGATGTATCCTTGATTTGGGGCTTTGGACATTTTGTTGTTGTTGTTTGATGGGAAGACCTTGGATTGAACCAGGAGGTAACTTTTTAAGACAGATTTGCTGTGTTGCATTTAGATTTGAAACTGCTTTTTTAAAGGTCTGTTTATCAAATTTGTGGCAGCTGACCACAGATTTGCTGATGCCCCACATATGTGGCACTGTGTATCACACATGCCTTGAAGAATTTTTGTGTAGTTATTGTATATAATTCTGGTATATTTATATTTTTCTATGACTTTCCACAGTTCTTATAGATCCTTGATATCACATCTTGATATTTTAAAATCATTTGCAGATGGATGCTCACCTGAGGCTCTAATCAGATGTTTGTCCAAGTCTTCTGACACCCTTCTCTGTGATCACCTGGTTTTACCAGTTAGGGTCGGTCCTTGGCACTGCTGTTATGGTGCCTTCCTGGTGTCTGCCGAGGAAGAAGAGGGCCAGGCAGGGCCAATAGTGCAGGACCAACTTTCCACAAGAGTGAAGGCTTGAGGAGGTCTGGTCTTTTTTTGTTTTTCTTTGGAAGAACACAAGCTTTATACATAAGCTTAATTTTTCTTAAATTGCCCTCCTAAAAAACAAATGTATAAAATAATACCAAAATGCAACATTAGAAGTACTGTCATTGCTCATTGGTGGTGTTGTCCTTTTCTGTGTTTTACTGGGGGATTGAGCTTAGGACTTTTGTACTGAGCCAAATCCTCAACTCCTTTTTAAAATTTTGAGACAATATCTCATTAAGTTGCCCAGACTGTTCTCAAACTTGTAATCCTCCTGCCTCAGCCTCCCAGATGCCTTGCAGGCGTCTGTCAGCCACCTCACCTGGCTTATCTGTGTTCTTGAAGAGAAACTTGTTGAGTATTTCTAAATCCGAGCTTCTGTAGGATCTTGATGACAAATCTTAATTTAACTTTGATACATCTTTACGAGCCAGGAGTGATGGTATACTCCTATAATCCCAGCCCTTTAGGAGGCTGAAGCAGGAGGATCACAAGTTGGACCCCAGTCTGGGCAACTTAAGGAGACCTTGTCTCAAAATAAATAATAAAAAAGGATTGCAGTTGTAGCTTGGTGTGAAGTCCCTAGGTTCAATCCTAAGTATGTAAAAAAAAAAAAAAAGAAAAAGTAATACAGTACAGGCACCACCTAAATTATTTGATTCACCTCACAGTGTACTACCTTAAAGTCATTTTGGCTCCAACTGTTTTCTTACCGTCTGGGCAGTGATAGCCTCATTGTGTGAAGAGATGACCAGTGTGGTCCTGAAGGGCTGCCAGGTGCCGTGCTGAAATGTCACATCTCCTGTGGCCCTCATTTTGATGTTTGTTGTTTTGAAACAGGGTCTCACTATGTAGTTTAGACTGGCTTTGAACTCACTATGTAGGTCAGGCTGGCCAGTGCTGGGATTACAGGAATGTGCCACCATGGGTGGTCCTCATTTTGGATTGGTTTTTTGAGTTACAGAGTCACAGCTCTTGGGTGGTAATAGTAATTTTTGACTTGACATTAAAACAGTGCAGTGTGGTGCAGCTGTGTGCTCTTTTCCATTAGGGAAAGTGAAGGTGAGTACAACGAAGGGGTATGAGATTTGCTGTGGGGAGGGAGGGGCCTTGTTTGATACACTCACAGCAGGAACCAGAATTAGGACAAGATGCTTTCAGGCTGATGTGATGGAACCATTTCCAGAAATGACTAATTTTAGCAGCTACTGAAAATGAAGTTTCTTTTGCTGGGAATTTTTTTTTTTAATGTTCAGATAGGATTAATGTTAATATAAAATGGAAAAATTAAGATCTTGTGAATTGAAATTCAAGTTACTAGGGCCGGGGATTTAGCTCAGTGGCTCCACTGCCTGCCTTGCAAGCAGAAGGTCCTGAGTTCGATTCCCGGTACCAAAAAAAAAAAAGAAATTCAAGTTATCATTCCGTATTTTGTGTTTGGGTGTGACAGCGTTTACATCAGTGTCTCAGAGCCTTGCTTTTCTGGAGTAGTATGGCCAGTTTGTTGTAAACATGCATGCTCATTTTTGTGGGTTCTGGTTCCACCATTTTCTAAGAGTTTATTACCATTTTCTAAGAATTTGGTCTGGCATAGTCTTATTTTTAACAAATCGTATAACACTGATAGTTTGAGAATATCAGTGGCTCCTTTTACTGGTTGGAGTCTCCAGGATAGTAAGTTTTTTGAGTTTTTTTTCTGATCTTTTAGTCTGTTCTTAATTTTAGATCATTCATGGAAACTTTTATTTAGGAACTTTTAGTATTTTCAGAAATGGTTTATATGGACAAGCAACTCAAGACTTGTTTTTTGCTCTGATTTTGATATGGATACCTATTTGTATACATAGTTCCTTGAAGAATGTGCCTTTAAGGAAAGGATGTGAGTGTGAACACACTGTATGACTGGAGAGGCTCTTCCTGTTTTCCAGTGACTTGGAGTTGACTGCCCTGATAGAAGAGACCCCAGCGATGGAGGAAGCCCACGGCGCCTTGGAGGAGGACTCTCCAGCCAAGTAGGGGTCACATCTGCCTTCCCCTTGCCGTTGTGGGTCTTTTTCCTGTTTTTAAATGCTTAGCCCTTTATCATATCATAGAGGGCTGATCTTTTTAATGTACTTGTGACTCATGAGCAAAGTAAGTAGTAGCTCGAATAATCTAATGAATGATTTTTAATAATGGGTTAAATTCAAATATTCTCTCCACTGACTGTAGCCTTTCTGTCAGTAGCTGTTCGCCTCCTCTCTTGCGACTTGTCTTATCTTGTCTCCTGATGCTGTCCCAGCCAGTCCTTCCTCCCTTTCCTCCAAGTAGTATAGGTCCCCGGCCACCTCTTGCACCCCTGCCCCTTCAGCTCCTCTGCCTGTTGAGCTTTCTCTTGTACCTGGTCACAAATCCCACCTGGGTAACGCCTCCTCTGTGCCTGTGGCCACACGGTGAGCACCAGTGTTCTAAAATGAGCTCTCAGTACTGCCCAGCATCCCCACTCTATGGATTCGTCATCTCCATACCTCATCTTTCCTTTTGCTAACACAACTTGGCTCCCTGAGAAATGAGCTGTATGCTGGGAGCTGCACAGTCCTCCTGCTGACTTCATGAACCCTCACACTGCTGGTAAGCTCCTCCTGCTGCTTTTCTGCTCTTCTCCTTCCTCCCAGCTCTGGCTTTCTGATTGAGGTTTTAAACATACTTAAACTCTGGCTTTCAATCTTCTCTGTTAGCTCCCCAGTCCTGAGCTGTGAGTGAGTCCCCTCCACCATTTCTTCCCTCATTTCTCTCCACGCCCAACCCGTACCCTTGTTGCCCTTCTAAAACAGCACTGTGCCTTTATGTCTGATGGATGCTGCACTCTGAGTCTCCTCTGACCTCACAGAAGCGTTTGCTTTGATCGATTTCTTCTTGACACACATTTTCACAAGTTCCCATGGTCATGTTACTATGCTGGTTTTTGTTCTGCCTTAACGTTAGTGGCAACTGTACACTCATCCCTGCGTTTCTGGTCTTTTAAATATCCAGTTCTTTGGGACTCTGCCTCAGGCCTCTTCTCTTTCTCTAGAGTCTCTTTATGGAATCTTATGCACCCCTGTGGCTTAAATTGTCTTGTATATAATGACTCCAGAATATATATCTCTGGCTCTGTCCTTCACTAGGAGCCCCAGGTCTATGTGTCCATCACCCTCCCATGACATCCCAAATCCTCATCATGCTCACCATGTCCTGTATTGAGCTGATCATTTCCTCCTTAAACCTCTGGGCCTTGTTAGGTGGAATAGCATTGCCACCTAGCCAACTGCACAAATCAGAAGTCTAGAAGTCATCCATGGAACTGCCTTCTTGACCTGCTCCCTCCTTGAATTCCACTCCACCCTGCCCTGGTGATCTGTAGCCCCTACAAGTCCATCCTCTCTGCTAATTAGCATCATCTCTACTAACCAGTTGTGGTCATAAGACTGTTTCTTCCTACAAGTCTTCCTGAATTTACCTTCTATACCAAAGTGGTCCTCACACTGGCATTCTGATTGACCCCTGTGGCCTCCTGTAGGGCCCTTGCAGGACCATCAAGATTGGTCCATTTGCCTTCTCTAGGTTCACCTGTGGCCCCTATTTTCATGTTCTGAAACACCTTTTTCCTACCCCTGCCCCTAAACCTCACCAGACTCTCAGAAATGCTGGTTCCCTGTCTTTCCGTCTTCTCTCGGACCCTCTTCTTCAACTGTGGGATTCCTGCCCATCCTTCAGCTGCCAGAGTCAGAGTATCTAGCAGTTGAGAGTCTACACTGAGCTGATGTGCAGTATGCACATCCAGACCTACCCCTTACTTGTTTGAGCAAGTTTTTTATTATCTCTTCTTTAGTAGTTCAATTTTCTTCATCTGTAAAAGGGGACTAATATAGTAACTACATCATAAGATTATTGGAAGGATTGAGAGACCTGGAGTGGTGCCTGGCATGTTATTAGTGCTGTGTAAACATCTGCTATTATTGTGACTTATTGCAAGAGTAAAAATGCCACAATGATTGATGATTATGAAAGCTGTTAATTTGCTCTTCAAAACAAGTAAGAAATGTGTTTAGAGAAACAGGATTAGCCATTAATAAGAATATTTAGACAGTGGGTTAACTAAGGAAATAAGGTTCATGGGTACATGAATGTTGGAAATGAGTTAACTAGACATATTCAGGAAAACATCCTATTCTTTTTAAACCAATTAACATTTGTACCCATTCAGGTGATACAAGGCAGAATAGTAGAGAACAAATACTAGCATCATTCTGATCTACAGAATTGTGGAGATACTGTTACATTCGTTATATTAGGCAATATCATTCTGTAGTCACCCAGGAAGATACAGTGCTGCCTAATGAAGCTGTCAGCATCTCAGTCTGCAGTGCCCGGAGTGTGCATCAGCACCTCTCTCCACTGACAGCAGCGAGAAGGGCGTCCATTCAGAGCTGCAGGCGCTGGGCAGAGGAGTGGCCTTGTGGGCAGCCACACTGAGATAGTCTCATTGACCCTTTGGCAGCTCAGGAAGGAGGATGTGATGTTCCTCTTTTCACACGGGGACAGAGGTTAGACCGCCTGCCTGCAGCTGCCCAGCAGGTATTGACTGCAGTGGATGGTCAGGGCTAATACTCATTTAGATGAACTTGCTGTTAAAAACTATCTGAAAGGAGTTGGCTCTGTCAGCATGAGGAAGAGTGATGGGAAGCACTGAGGGGTCTTTCTTCAGGACTGTGGGGTCGGGTGTAGCTCACGAGTAGAGTATTCCCTAAGGTACATTGGAGGCCCACGGTTCCATCACCAGAATCTGTGTATGTGTATGTACAAGTCCCTTATTTTAACTTGAAAAAGCTCTATGAAAATGTTGAGAAAGCATGAACACAAAGTATCTACATTGAATTATTTGTTATTGTAATTGGTTTCCATGTGTATTTGCTTAAACAGTGAAGGTTTCTGTGTGCTACATTTTTTGCCATGTGGAGTTAACCACCATCACCACTGCTCCCATCAGATATCTGGGTGCTGGAGTTTTACCTGATTGCGTAGACAGTTCAAGTAGATCTCTGGTCTCTGTGTGCCTGACTCCTCTACCTTGACCTCTGCCCATCCCTCCATGCATCTCAAGGCGTCACAAGGTCAGAGTGGGCTTTGGATAGGTAATAACTTGGATTTGAAACTTGGCTCTTCCATTATTTGTTAACTACAAAACCTCTCTGTGCCTTGATTTTCTTATCTATAAAATGGAGTGATTAATTGTAACTTATGGGATTAATTATCCTGAGATAATTATAATTACTATAAAGCATTTTGTATAATACCTGGCCCATAATAAGCAAACCAAAAGTATTTGCTACTATCCCAATTCATTTATAAAGATAACTGTGGTAAAGGCAATTTGATTTATTCTATAATTGCACCCATTTAGAAACAATATAACTATCAAATTTGCATGTATAAACAAAGTAAATTTGCATTTAGCATTACTCATGTTAACATAAATTTAACTACCTTATCTCTGTGAGGAGCTTTGATAAAAATTCTTTTCCTTGGGGCTGGGGCCTGGCTCCATCAACCAGTACCAAAACAAAAACCAAAAAAATTCTCTCCCCAGGCTTTTGATAATAAACTAAAGTTTATTGATTTGATAATAAACCAAAGACTTAAACAACAGCCCAGGGGATATTGAATTTAGAATAAGAGTTGAGATGGTGTTATCACTGTTAGAGATACAACAGAGGGATACACTTCTGCCTGTGGAATATCCAGGCTTTGCCAAACCCACAATATAACTGTATTCAATGCCAATTCAAATTGACACACGAAGCATGCATCACAGAATTGTTGCAGTATGTGTTTTTGGTAATAACTTCTGCTCAGTAGGGAATAAGGTTAAGGAGCCTGGCCTTGTTGATACTATAATTGTTTTAGTGTAGCTTGTCAAAACCAGGGACAATGAAAGGGAAGCCTTAACAAGTTCCCAACAGCTTGAACCAGTGGTGGTAGGTATATGCATGACTGTCCCATCAGAAAGCTTGTGCCACTGGTGGTACAAACATCTAATCACTTTTATTGGTCTTTTTGCTAATAGAATAGGAAGCTGCCTGATGGGACAGTCAGCAAGACATATAAATGACAGCCTTGTCGTAAACGTGTTAAAGGACATGTACCTAGATTCTTGAATGAGGTGAATTACACAGCATTGGGCTGATTTCCAGTGGGGAAGGCATCACTTGTAACAAACACTACATGCTAAATTCTATATTTGCTCTACTTTAGGTATTTATATGAATCACATCAAGGTTGCATTTCTTATATACCTTGTTCTTTTTTTTTTTTTCTTGGTACTGGGGATTGAACCCAGGGCCATCACACTGAACTACATAGTCATTTTTTGTTTTTTATTTTGAGACAGGGTCTCACTAGATTGCCTAGTCTGGCCCCAAACTTGTGATTCTTCTGCCTCAGCTTCTCAGAGTATAGGGATTAAAGGTGATCACCAGCATGTCAGGACCCAAGAAGGTTATGATTCCTAATCAGAAATGGAGCCAGACCACCAGAGTGAAGGTACTAAGTCTAAGCTGCTAGACCACAGTGGGTTCCATTGTTTCATGTATATCTCTGCCAGTTTCCTCCTCCCCCAAGATGTATCACTCACAAATATTTCAGAATGTCACATCTAGAAAAGGACTCATTTTTAAACAGTATAATTAGGATACCATTACCACATCTAGAAGTTTTAACAATTTCTTAATATCTCTCTTTAAAATGGCTGTATTGAGATATAATTCGCATTGAATAAATGGCACGTATTTAATGCAGTTTTACTAGCTTTCACATATATATGTTTGTGTATATGTATATATATGTGTGTGTATATATATGTATGTATGTATGTGTATATATATATATATATATGTATGTATGTATTTATATTTGTGAAACCATGGCTGTAGTCAAAATAATGAACACAGCTCTCTCCCCAAACGTTTGGTTGTGTCCTTTGTAATTTCTCTCT